TATAGCACCTACGTTCACTGATGGTGAACTACCAATGTTCACCGATGGTAGAGAGAAAAGATAACACCTACGTTCATTGAAGGTGAACTACCAACGCTCACTGAAGGTAGTAAGAGAATAACATCGACGTTCACTGACGATGAACTACCAACATTCACTGATGGTAGAGAGAAAAGATAATAATCACCAACGTTCACTGGTGGTGAACTACCAATGTTCATAGAAGGTAGCAAAAAGATAACACCCACGTTCACTGAAGATGAACTACCAACATTCACTGAAGGTAGAAAGAGAATAACATCGATGTTCACTGACGATGAACTACCAACTTTCACTGAAGGTAGAGAAAAAAGAAATATAGAACCGACGTTCACTGACGGTGAACTACCAACATTCACTGAAGGTAGAAAAAAGATATATTGACAATAAAAAGTTTCCCAAAATCATGGCGTTTCACCTAGAACGGGTCCCAACTTCTTCTTTAACCAAGGCATTCCGCCTGGAAAGGGTAGTATATAAGTTGTCTCAAATAAAGAGACTACCACTTGTAAAGATTTCACAATGAACTGTCTCTGCAATATTGAAAGACTTGCCATCCACTGGAGTAATTTGACAATGAACTGCAAACTATCCACTCATAGAGAAGATATAAAAAAAATTAACGTCGACTTTTACGGGGAAGTACAAGTTGCTCAAATAAAGAGACATGCTACTTGCTGTTGTGAAGGATTGTAAAAATGACTTCTTGGGGAAAGCAATATGGCATCCTGGGGAAAGAAATATGACTTCCTGGGGAAAGAAATATGTCTTCTTGGGGAATGAATCATGGCTTCCTAGGGAAATGCCAATATATTCCTGCTGAGGAGATAAAGTCTTCTCGTGCAAATTAAATGCACATTCTCAAACCAAGGCTCGAAGCTTGCAAAGATTCAAACCAGAAATAAACTGGAATGAATCAGTCAACCAAAATACATCCTTTTAGAAATAAACTCAAGAGAGAAATCCAAATCATCCATACAAAGAGCTGAACAGGAAAGCTAAAGCAAAAAACTTCCACAAGGGATAACTCAGAGGGGAAATTGAAAGAATACACACTTTCTGCTTAAGGTTGACACTCCATTGGAGAGAGGACAACACAACTCTACAAAACAGGGTAATATGTCAACAAACAAAATTAATGAATGCAAATGAGCAATGATTTGCTAAATTTAACTATGTATGATGTATGTATGAATGTATGAGTGTTATTATGTATATGCTGACAAAACAGACATATAACACTGGGGATAACCAGACAAAACCAACTCGGGTACAGTCAACACTCGGTTAAACCACATCCAAGATGAAAATTCCATAAGAAAGTAAGCACCAACTGAGGAAACATAATCCTATTTTCCGGCTTAACTTCACTGGGAAGGAACATAATCCAGAAGTAATCCTATCATATCAATACATCAGTACAGGTACGGGAATATAACATCCTTCTCCAGGCTTTACCAGGGAATAACACACAGACTTAAATGGGGAAAACACATGTTTCACGGTACGTACTTCTACTGGGGATTTCAATACTGATTTCAAATAAGGCAGATGAAAACCATATCGTCAAAACATCAACTGGGGATTTCGTGCTGACTTCATTGGGGAAATATTATACAGACTTCACTAGGGGAGATAATGCCTCATCATCGAGATATCAACTGGGGACCTCGTGCTGACTTCATTGGGGAGGCCAACACCATATCGAAGAGGGGAAACCAAGATACGTTCTTCAATATTGAGAGTAAGTATTACACCAACTTCTCTGGGGAAAAAGTATGAAACCTCACGGGGATAATAACTTGGGGAGTTAAGAAGTCAAACATTACAACAAGAAATCAATCTTATGGGGATTTTAAATCAAACCCAACACTTGGCGGGTGAAAACCCAAAAAATTGACAAATGCCTCAACACTTCTTAGATAAAACATTGCCCTTGCCTGATTATCGGGCAATCAAAATGCAAGTACTACCGAAAGGGAGATACTTCGCAAATGATTCCAACTCAGCATGCACGGGGAGAAAAGACTTTTATTGAATAAGTGAATCCTTCACTAGGGAATCTTGGATTGAGTCTTCATATCATGCAAACCTATTCCAACAAAAATGCCATGGGATAGCTGTAGCGGTAAAATCAATGAAGTCGCCACCGAGTATTTATTTATCCCATATGAAAGGGAAGGGAAAATCATCGAAGAAAAACCTAAAGGGGAAATCAAGGTCTTGCAACCGAGAGATTGGGTAAGGGAGTCGATTACGCGAGGGGAAGGTATTAGCACCCCACACGTCCATAGTACTCTACGGGATCCACTCTCGTTATTCTAATCAAAGGGTTTGTTCAATCTAATGCTTAAGGGTTATAAACTAAGAGAGAATGCATGCAAAGAAAAGAGAAAGAATGTAGGGAAAATAAAGTTGTACTTGCTTGGGCCCTACCCCAATGCCTACGTATCCTTTTTGAGGAATCAGAGCTACCGTAGTTTGGCTCATATGTTTTGTTTGTTTGCATTTTTTAAATGATCAATGTTGCATTCGATCATTCCACCGCTGCTCGACCTTTGGAGACTTATGACCTGTAGTGGAAAGGAGCTAACGTGCTCTTGGAAGAGAAAAGCCGAATGGAAAAAAGAAATGGATTGGTGGGTATTTTTTATTATGAAAAGTATTTTTGTATGCTTAGTATTCTTTATACATTTGCCAAGGAAAAAAGAAGTTTTAGTTTTAAGTGCAGTTATGCAAAAACGAGAATAAAACATCTAAGGGAGACTAACCTATCTCTAACCTAATGTTATCATACAATGAGGGATCCTATCTAAAGCTAGCATGCCAAAGAAAGTCTAACAAAACTATCCTATAGGGAACATGCACTAAGAGCGAAGTAGTGATCTCAATTTCTAAATTGACTGACTCATCGATCAATAAGAAATAAAGGAAAGCGATAAAATCCTATAGGGAGCATGCACTGAGAACGAATTCGTGATATCAATTGCTAAATTGAGTGACTCATCGATCAACAAGAAAGGAAGCAAACACAAGCACAACACATAACAGAAACAAAGTGCGGAATGCCTGCTACGGGTCTTTAAACAGCGACTTCGAGCGCACGCTCTTTATTTCCCACTTCTCATGATATCTAGAAAAGCGATAAATGCGGAAATATAACTTGGAAGCAGTATAATACCAAACGAACAATGACGTCCACAAAAAGCGCAACCCAAGTAAAGAAATCTGAGATACTTCGCGCGAGCTGGTATCAACAAACAAACAGTCAGAGATCGAATACTTGGAATAGGTGTCAAAACTTCGTCGATGTGAAAATAAATCACAATCAGAATCCAAAACACATACGCATACCAAATAATGAACCTGCGTAAAACTCAACTCAACCAATAAAGGTGAATAACAAATTTCGAATAATCGGATAACCATGAATTAATTCCTATAATCAAAAATGAGAAAAATCTAACAAATTTTTATATTTGACTTTATTATTTTTATCATGTAAAGAAAAACAAACAAGTCTAAACAATTGACAAAATTATTTAAAAGGACTCACTAAAATAATAAACAACAAAATAAATCCCATACGGTGCAGACTAGAACTCTGGAGGTATGGTGTAACAATACAGCACAGGCTAGGCCTTCAAAAATGGCCCAATAGCATTTTTGTAGCACAAGTTAACAGATCGCCAAAAACCATCGATTGGGCTTATAAAGCAATGGCATGGTCCTGGGTCCATCCTTAAAACATCCCCACCTTTATGTTTTTTTAGATTTTTTATTCATAAATTTTTTATTATCTAAAATAAATAAATAAAATGAAAGAAATTACAACGTGACATTAGGGTTGAGTTGTGTGATGATTGAACTTCCACGAGCAAAAAATTCTCTTCCCCCTCTTTTATCTCTCAACACAGCCACGACGCTGCTAAACTCTTCTTCTCTGATCCGCCTTTTCCGATGATCCTACGTCGTAAATCCCCTTCCATCCAGAAATTCCTCCTCACGCCTCAATTTCGAATCAATCACGGACCTCACCACTTTTGACATTCCGTTCATGATTCGTCTTCGTCCTCAACCTCATTCATCATCTCCAAATCGAAACGAACTACCAAACACGACGCGTCTACAACAACGGAGATTGAAGTAAAACTGAATCAAGAAAGAGAGAGCTCAACCCTTACCTGTCGGAGTCGCTCCGGAGGCTTCCCGACCGTTTCGGTGTTACAATAAATCCAAAGAGGCAAAGGTATGCGTCTTCGTTCTTTCTTTTAATGTTTTAGTGATTGCGTTTTTCTGATTAAATTTCCTCCTATGTAGATACCGTTACACGCTTTGTGTGGATCAATGAGGTGGTGCAAAGGTGAAGATTTTGATATTGCGGTTACACTGATGCAGAGAAGAAGATAAATTTGTAGATGATTGGATGTTGCGGTTTATTGCAGATTGAAGCGATATCGTTGTTGTTTTAATTTTTTGCAGGTTGCTAAAGAAGTGTTGATGTTGATAATTGTTGATGTTCTGTGGTTTGAAGGTTGATTCGTGAGAGATGAGTGATGCAGAAAAGGGTATTCCAAAGAGAAGAATGAGAGGATCCAGAAAAGGATTTTCTGGAGTTTGCTTTGAAGAATGATGGAAGGTTTGTGAATGCATCAATGAAGATGAAGAGAGAGAAGAGATAAATTTTCTGAACTTGTTGGTGATCCTCCCAAATATGAAGAATCCCCCCTGATTTAAGGCAAGTTCTGAATTTATATTCTGTTAGATAGTGAGAGGGTTGGGAAATTCTGTTGTGTTATTTCTGTATTGACAATTAAGAGGGAAGTTAGTTAGGTCTGTTATGGTTGTTAGGATTCTGTTGAGAAATTGGTTGTTGAATTAATTATTTTGTGACGTGATTTTGCAAGATCGGTAAGGGGTGGGGCATCTGTCCGAGACTCGCTAAGTCTTGGTTGAACATCTTAAAGAATGACTTCACCCTCTACTATCAATGATTCCAAAAACTGATTTGTCTTTTGAGATTTACCAAGCTTCATACCAAGACCCTTTGGCAGAGCAGCAACAAATGCAGTTGGATGACCTTTAGGTTTGGTAGAAAAGGAATCAACATCAGCATCGATTCCAGTGCTAGGTATGCTCATAGTACTAAAGCTATTTTCAATTCTTCCAGAACCCATTGATGTTAACGGACCAAATCCTCCTTATTGTGCTCAGTTCTTTCTGCTCCTTCTCTCCTCCACCATAGTCACATCCAGAAAATGCAAGCATATCAGGTTCAAATCTCAAATGCAATGCAATGTAAGGTTTCTTTCTCATCCTCATCCGCTTGACCAATTTTTCACCCATTTCTTGTATTGGATCAGTAAATCTTAGAGCTTGGTAATTAACTTTGCATCTCAACTTCTGATACTCAGTATCTAACCTGTTTGCAAGCCTGTAGTCAAACTTGTTGAGTTGAACAACATGCTTTTTCACGAGTACATGCAGTATACGATTTATATAACATCTCTCGTTACATTTCCTTGGAACACGCATGTTATATGCAGATAATGCTTTCCTACCCTTATTAATACTTGGGAGTTGCTTAATAATTTTGACAGGTAAACCAATTAACATCAAAGATCTCTGAAAAGTTACTAGAATCTTTCCAGTAAGATCGTTGATCCAATTTTGGAACAACTAAAGTAGCATTTAAAATTCGCGCAACAACAACAACATCTGTAATCCCAATTCTTTGTTGATTCAAGCCTCCACTAGTTGCAATCGACAAATACCGATTAGGCCTTGTAGTGACTTGAGCTTTTGGAAACTTGCTGCTGGAATTGCTGCAGCCATAGAAGTGCTCCGAATTTCTTGAGAATTTCCCCTTTTAGTAATATTTATGTTATTTTCAGCAGCAGCCTGTCCGTACAACCCAATTAATTTGTTGTTGTTCTCAAGCATGGCTCTAAGCTTCACCCTTAGCTCTACTGCTTTCTTTTTTATATCTTTTGATTTTCTAATGTAAAGCTATATCGCAGTTTGTACGGTTTGATCCAATGGTCCATGGTGCAAAGCTGAAACTTAGCATAGTATAGCAAGATGCATTGAATTTGGAGGCATAGAGTTTGACACAAAGCTAATAGAATTAGGACATTCCTTAACTTGCAACATTTTTATAGTTTTCTTTTAGATGTGACACAGGTGATATGACTGGTTTTTGGATGTAATTGAATTTTGGTTTATGGACTTTGATGTAATATATTCATAAGTTGGATTGGAATTGTCACTTTTATGTAATTTTGAATGATTGAAAGTGTATATGTTCTAGTTCTTGATTTTGTAATAGCCATGGTTGAATCAAGAAAAGAGAATTTGAATTAATTCACTTGTATTTGAATTTATTCTCTTATGCTTACATCTTCTCAAAATGTATCTTGAATGAATCGCGATCCCTTCTTTAACCTCAAGTTCAAAATCTTCTTTTTGTATCTCAAACATAATCCAAATTCTAAGAAAATCCAATTTATGAATCACTTATATTATTAGTACAAGAAAACCAGAACAATTATCCACAAGCCCTGTAACATCTCTCGCACATATCTTGTTCTTCAAGCAAGTTAAATGACTTATCCTTGAATCACATTAAAAACTTCTATTCCATGCTCATCTTAAATCGATCCTTAATGCAACTCAAGCGTTCATGACAAGTCGACGTCAGATGACCTAATGAAGGTTATGTACCTCAATCTCAATTAAATCCATAGATTCTAGTCATCTTGCATTTGAAGCGACCAACCTCCATTTGATAAAATAAGCTGAATGAGCTCCTAAAATGAGCTCAATGTAACCTTGAAGTGAGACTTTAATCCAGTAAATCTCTATAGAAGAATGACCACCAAGCTCAAACAACATGAAGAGAAATCCTGATTCTCCTGCTGAGTTAAACCCTAATACCTCTGTTCCATGAAAAAACCTTGAATAAAGACAAATTCGTATCTTGGGGAAACCTGATAGCGAAAACATCTATGCTGCTTGAGATCCAAAACCCTAATCTCATACCAAGAAAAATGAGAGCGCCAATTTAATCAATTTTGAGTAAGATAGCAAACTCAATTCATAGAGAGAAACCTTAATGCCAAAGTGCTTCGATCTTATAACCATGAGGCCAATGCTATGTGCGAAATGTACAAAGTATGATGAGGGATCTTAGAGGAAAAAATTGGGGTACGACAACTGCCCTTATTTAAGTGTCTTCTATCCGGAGATATGAAGATTAAAATCTTTGTTTCGACATGATTGAAGATACTTAAATATAAAACAAGCCCTATTTTTGGCCCTAAGATGCCATGCGATGCTTATGATTATGGATGTAATGTATGAACTTCATGCAAATGGGCCAGACACGTACTGGAGAAGCAAAAGTAGAATCTACAAGTTGCCAAAAGAATTCAATCAGGACGCTAAATCTTTGGAGAACAACACGACTCCTGGGACAAAAAATTGAATCTATTGGAGATAAATCGGCTCCGCTGAGGAAAAGAAAACTCAACTTTACTGGGGTAAGATCCAGAGAGGAGATAACATAAACTTCAAAACTGAGGGGAAAGTAATGGATGACAATGATTAACTGATAGCTGTGAACTATCCACTCATAGAGGAGATAGCAAAAAGAGAGTAACATCAACACAGGGGATCAGAATTCGCTAACCAGAAAAGGTCAACCTTACCTAATAACGATAATGAACTACCCACTCAATAATGAAGGTAAAAAAAACAAACATAGGACAATAATGACTTTTATTGAAGGTAAAGAAACAGAAGATACACCGACGTTTACTGAAGGTGGAGAAAAGAGAATGCACCAGCTTTTACTGAAGGTGACGTCTCAGAGAGTAATAACGAACTTCCTAAAATCCTGGCGTTCTTCCTAGAACGAGTAAAAATACAAGCTATCTCAAATAAAGAGACTACTACTTGTAAATATTTCACAACAAACTTCTCTTGTGAAACTTCCCCGGAGAGATACCATTTGATGGAGAATCAGATAAACTTCCCCTCGATCCTGACTATAAGCCACAAACCGGTCTAAGTTTCTTCTTTAACCAAGATGTTTCACCTGGAAAGGGTAAAAAACACAAGCTATCTCAAATAAAGGGACTACCACTTGTAAAGATTTCATAACAAACTTCTCTTGCGAAAATTCCTCGAAGAGATGCCATTTGATAGAGAATCGGATAAACTTCCCCTCGGTGCTGACTATAAACCACAAAGTGGTCTCAGTTTCTTCTTTAACCAAGATGTTTCACCTGGAAAGGGTAAAAACACAAGCTATCTCAAATGAAGAGACTGCCACTTGTAAGATTTCACAACAAACTTCTCTTGCGAAACTTCCTCGAAGATATGCCATTTGATGGAGAATCGAAGAAACTTCCCCTCGATCCTGACTATAAGCCACGAACTGGTCTCAATTTCTTCTTTAACCAAGATATTTCACCTAGAAAGGGTAAAAACACAAGCTATCTCAAATGAAGAGACTGTCACTTCTAAGATTTCACAACAAACTTCTCTTGCGAAACTTCCTCGAAGAGATGCCATTTGATGGAGAATTGGATAAACTTCCCCTCGATCCTGACTATAAGCCACGAACTGGTCTCCGTTTCTTCTTTAACCAAGGTGTTTCACCTGGAAAGGGTAAAAACACAAGCTATCTCAAATGAAGAGATTGCCACTTGTAAGATTTCACAATAAACTTCTCTTGTGAAACTTCCTCGAAGAGATGCCATTTGATGGAGAATCGAATAAACTTCCCCTCAATCCAGACTATAAGCCAAAAAATGGTCTCAATTTCTTCTTTAACCAAGATATTTCACCTGGAAAGGGTAAAAACACAAGCTATCTCAAATAAAGAGACTGCCACTTGTAAGATTTCACAACAAACTTCTCTTGCGAAACTTCCTCAAAGAGATGCCATTTGATGGAGAATCAGATAAACTTCCCCTCGATCCTGACTATAAGCCACAAACTGGTCTCAGTTTCTTCTTTAACCAAGATGTTTCACCTGGAAAGGGTAAAAACACAAGCTATCTCAAATAAAGAGATTACCACTTGTAAGATTTCACAACAAACTTCTCTTGCGAAACTTCCTCGAAGAGATGCCATTTGATGGAGAGTCAGATAAACTTCCCCTCGATCCTGACTATATGCCACGAACTTGTCTCAGTTTCTTCTTTAACCAAGATATTTCACCCAAAAAGGGTAAAAACACAAGCTATCTCAAATGAAGAGACTGCCACTTGTAAGATTTCACAACAAACTTCTCTTAAGAAACTTCCTCGAAGAGATGCCATTTGATGGAGAATCGGATAAACTTCCCCTCGATCCTGACTATAAGCCACAAACTGGTCTCAGTTTCTTCTTTAACCAAGATATTTACCCTGGAAAGGGTAAAAACACAAGCTATATCAAATGAAGAGACTGCCACTTGTAAGATTTCACTACAAACTTCTCTTGCGAAACTTCCTCGAAGAGATGCCATTTGATGGAGAATTGGATAAAATTCCCCTCGATCCTGACTATAAGCCATAAACTGGTCTCAGTTTCTTCTTTAACCAAGCTGTTTCACCTGGAAAGGGTGAAAACCAAGCTATCTCAAATGAAGAGACTGCCACTTGTAAGATTTCACAACAAACTTCTCTTGTGAAACTTCCTCGAAGAGATTCCATTTGATGGAGAATCAGATAAACTTCCCCTCGATCCTGACTATAAGCCACGAAATGGTCTTGGTTTCTTCTTTAACCAAGATATTTCACTTGGAAAGGGTAAAAACACAAGCTATCTCAAATGAAGAGACTTCCACTTGTAAGATTTCACAACAAACTTCTCTTGCGAAACTTCCTCGAAGAGATGTAATTTGATGGAGAATCGGATAAACTTCCCCTCGATCCTGACTATAAGCCACGAGCTGGTCTCAGTTTCTTCTTTAACCAAGATATTTCACCTAGAAAAGGTAAAAACACAAGCTATCTCAAATGAAGAGATGACCACTTGTAATATTTCATAACAAACTTCTCTTGCGAAACTATCTCGAAGAGATGCCATTAGATGGAGAATCGGATAAACTTCCCCTCGATCCTGACTATAAGCCACGAACTGGTCTCAGTTTCTTCTTTAACCAAGATGTTTCACCTGGAAAGGGTAAAAACACAAGCTATCTCAAATGAAGAGACTGCCACTTGTAAGATTTCACAACAAACTTCTCTTGCGAAACTTCCTCGAAGAGATGCCATTTGATGGAGAATCGGAGAAACTTCCCCTTGATCCTGACTGTAAGCCACGAACTGGTCTCAGTTTCTTCTTTAACCAAGATATTTCACCTAGAAAGGGTAAAAACACAAGCTATCTCAAATGAAGAGACTGCCACTTCTAAGATTTCACAACAAACTTCTCTTGCGAAACTTCCTCGAAGAGATGCCATTTGATGGAGAATTGGATAAACTTCCCCTCGATCCTGACTATAAGCCACAAATTGGTCTCAGTTTCTTCTTTAACCAAGGTGTTTCACCTGGAATGGGTAAAAACACAAGCTATCTCAAATGAAGAGATTGCCACTTATAAGACTTCACAGTAAACTTCTCTTGCGAAACTTCCTCGAAGAGATGCCATTTGATGGAGAATCAAATAAACTTCCCCTTAATCCAGACTATAAGCCAAAAACTGGTCTCAATTTCTTCTTTAACCAAGATATTTCACCTGGAAAGGGTAAAAACACAAGCTATCTCAAATAAAGAGACGGCCACTTGTAAGATTTCACAACAAACTTCTCTTGCAAAACTTCCTCAAAGAGATGCCATTTGATGGAGAATCGGATAAACTTCCCCTCGGTGCTGACTATAAGCCACGAACTGGTCTCAGTTTCTTCATTAACCAATATGTTTCACCTGGAAAGGGTAAAAACACAAGCT